GACACAGTTGGATAATGCTGTGCAACAGACGGATGAAAATGGCAACACAGGATTTTTGCGTGGAAGTACAGAACGGATGTATGTGCCCTGAGAGACGCAGTTGCGTTGCTCCGAGCATCTGACCTACCGCTCAGGAGCACCATGTTCTTGGCAGGTTTTCTTCACATCCTGAATCCGCTGTCACCAATGGAATTCGGTGCTGGTGCGCCTTGGATCGTACCCAAGCTGCGGCTCATTTGATTGACATCGGAAACCGTCTTCATTTTTTCCTATGAAAAGGTTTGTCGCAGTGGGGGACGCTCTCTAACGTTACGGACTCACAAGAAATTTCGTACGGGTGTTTTTCCAAACCTATGATGCGCAGGGGAAGCCAACAGCAGTGGATGGATCTGGTGAATGATGTGAGTGAAAAAGGGTACATGGCAGAAACTCTGCCAAAAGTGGCGCGCGGCTCCTGGAAGACAGCGTGAAGAACGGTGGAGTGAAAGTGTCCTACTGATCTATTTTCGACATGATGTCGACTTTCGAGTGTCGTTTGTATGCACACATCGACAGCATCTGCCTCGCGTTACAACACCGTTCATTTTATTAGGGCGCTCATGTTTGCTTTGGAGTTGCATTCCGATCAGTCGGAGGCTGATTGGAAATTATTGAGCGCCATGGGCACTGGAGTAAGGGAGTCAAACATTCCGGTCAACACGCGCGGAGGGGCGACATACCTTATGGCATCGAAGACCTTTGTTGTTTCCTTTGTATGTTAAAAGGGCGATGATACTCGATCATGTCCAGTTCGGTTGACCAAAAGTCTTCTGACGGGTGGGACTGTCCGTGCTGGGAGACGCTTCTCCGAGTTGACGAGCTACGTTTCGCTGTCGTTTCATCTGCGCATCTGCGTCTACACACCCTCACCTTTGTACATTTACATCTTCACACGCTCACATCCGCAGATCTACCTCTCTACCTCCACGCACCCACACATCTGCACATCTATATCACACCTGCACATCCACACTGTCCTTCACATCCGCCCTCTCTTTCTCTCTTTCTACATATCTTTTCTCTTAATATTTTAGATCTAATTTCGTCGCAACTTCTTACTCAATAACAGATTGTATAAAGAAGTCATGGCTCTTGGGCAACTCGATTTTAACTATTTCCTTACTCGGAATTGCTTGACAATCACCTTTTTCGCTCTCGGGTCTGGTAACTTTTGCTTTTCTCCCCTTAACACCGGTGAACCCCGGCCGGCCCCACCGCGTTGAATGGATCTCAGGCGCCAAGGCCTGACCTGACACGACCGGTTGTTCCCATGGACCTTTCGACACCTGGAGGCCCGCCACGTGGCCGAAGCGGTGAAACCGGCCGGGGTTCACTTGGGGAGCTGAGAGCTCCGGGGGACGGAAGTCGAACCCGGTGTGTTCTCCCATTAAGGGAATAGACGCAGAGACAGAGAGACAGGGGAAGAAGAGAACAAAGCGTAAACAAATAAGCTAGGGTATTTAGTTTTTGATTCCTATTGATATTTTGCTGATCTGGTTCTTGTATTTCCTTTCCTTCCCTGATGTTCAAACTCGGTTTGAGGAAGTTTTTCAAACAAGTTGTTTGAAGGAATTGTGAGAACTCAATATCATCATATTTCAAACTCCAACTCTCTGCGTTATATCAAAAACTTATATGGTAGCGCAACGCTCGCTATGAAAAAGCAAACGCAAGTTTTCCATGGGGTCACTCACGCCAGATTATATATGTCTACAAAATCTCTAGCAAGACCCCCTGGAAAGTTAAGAGGTATAGAGATTAGGTCTGTGCATAATTGGTTTCAATGTATACATATTTGTGTGATGTGTGTAGGATTGAGACCACCAGAGATGTCTCGCGACCAAAACATAAGAGAGGCCACGCAGGGACGTCTGCAAAATGAGGGACTCTTCCTCAAAAACTCAGCTTCTGGCTAGATATCCTCTGGCAGCCAGAGGTTCACAAAAAGTAGGTCCTCCAGGTTCTAAATTCCATGATTTCAGAGAGGAGAGATGATTGAATAGAGAATGTTGCGTCACTATGTAAGTTTTCGATATGATTATTGAATAGCTTATTCGTTTTAACTTATTCTTTTCTCCCCTTAACACCGGTGAACCCCGGCCGGCTTCACCGCGTTGAATGGATCTCAGATGCCAAGGCCTGACCTGACACGACCGGCTTTTCCCGTGGACCTTTCGACACTTGGAGGCCCGCCACGTGGCCGAAGCGGTGAAACCGGCCGGGGTTTACTTGGGGAGCTGAGAGCTCCGGGGGACCGAAGCGTTGGAACCCGTGTGTTCTCGCACTAAGGGAATAGACATGGAGACAGAGAGACAGGGGAAGAAGAGAACAAAGCGTAAACAAATAAGCTAGGGTATTTAGTTTTTCATTCCTATTGATATTTTGGTGATCTAATTCTTGCATTTCCTTTCCTCGTTTGATGTTCAAATTCGGTTTGAGAAAGTTTTCCAAGCAAGTCGTTTTAAGGAATTGTGAAAACTCAATATTATCATATTTCTAAAAAACCAACTCTGCATTATATCAAAGACCTCTATGGTAGCGCAAGGCTCGCTATGAAAAACAAACGCGAGTTTTCCCTGGGGTCACTCACGCCAGATTATGCCGACAAAATCTCTAGCAGACCCCCCTGGAAAATCAAGACAATTAAGAGGTACGGTATTGAGATTGGGTCTGTACATAACCGATATCAATATATATATATATTATATGTATAATATGTGTAGGTTTGAAACCACCAGAGATGTCTCGCGACCAAAACATAAAAGAGGCCACACTGGGACGTCTATAAAATGAGGAGGCCCCACCCCCACTCTTCCTTAAAAACTTAGCTTCTGGCCAAACAACCCCACGGCAGCTAGAGGTTCACAAACAGTAGGTCCACCAACTAATTGTCAACAATTGTCATCAACCAATTTCTACTCACCAATTGCTACCAACCAATTGCTACCAACCAATTGCCACCAACCAATTGTCAACAATTGTCATCAACCAATTGCTATTCACCAATTGCTATCAACCAACTGTTAACAACAAATTTCCACCAACCAATTGTCACCAACATCAACTAATTGTCACCAACCAATTGTCACCAACCAATGGGTCGGATGTACGCCCTGGCGCTGGCTGGGGCTGGGGCTGCTGGGTCTCCGCCGCTGTGCTGCGCTTTGCGTGGCAGGCGCAATACTTGGTGCTCTCCAAGGGGTCGGATGTACGCGCCGGTGTCGCTGGGTCGCCGCAGCTCTGCCGGTGTGATTTGCGTGGCACGCACAGTACTTCCAACCAATTGCTATCAACTAATTGCAACCAACTAATTGTCACCAACCAATTGCTAACAACCAATTGCCACCAACTAATTGTCAGCACCAACCTGTCACCAACCAATTGCCACCAACAAACTCCCACCAACCGATTGTCACCAGCCAATTGCTACCCACCAATTGTCACCGACCAATTGCCACCAACCTATTGCCACCGACCACCAACCAATTGTCATCAACCAGTTGCCACCAACCAATTGCCACCCACCAATTGCTACCAACCAATTGCTACCAACTAACTGTCACCAACCACTTGTCATCAACCAAGTGCCACCCACCAATTGTCACCAACCAATTGTCATCAACCAGTTGTCATCAACCAAGTGCCACCCACCAATTGTCAGCAACCAATTGTCATCAACCCATTGTCATCAACCAATTGCCACCCCACCAATTGCAAGCCACCAATTGCTACCAACCAATTGCCACCAACTAATTGTCACCAACAAGCTTCCATCAACCAATTGCCACCAACAAGCTGCCAACAACCAAATGCCACCAACCAATTGTCACCAACAGACTGCCACCAACAAACTGCCACCAACAAATTGCCACCAACCAATTGTCACCCACCAACCACCAATTGTCCGCTCCTGTGTCTGGTGAAGTTGTTAACATGCGGGGGTTTTCCGGTCCTATAATTTTTTCCCTGCCCTAGCCTGCTTCGACGCACGCGTCAAAACTGAAGCGCGGCGTTGGCGTAGCTAAGCGCTTTCGGCTTTAGAACACTCTCTGTATGGCGGCGTTGTAAATACAATTGTCTTCAACCGCAGTTTCATCATATTGATGCCTGATGACGTCCGAGGATGGATTCATACACATGTTTTTGTGAAAAATGCAGCCAATTTTGCCTTGGCCGGCCGCATCTCTTTTTGGCATATTGCATCCTAAAAGCAGAATTCGGTTGGAGCGATACCTACCGAAAAGGATCTGAGTCCGTTGCATGGGTAATACGCCCTAAAAGACTTGCTCTTTTGTTGTTGTAATGAACACCAAAAAGTTTGACGCAACGATCAAACTCTAGGAAAGGCAATTCACGGCTCTGTTAGTGTTGGCTCTATCGATGAAAGTAGGCGCAAACCCGAGAATTTTTCTCAGGCCACGCAACTGGAACGCGTCAATTTTCTTCAATAAAGCAGAGGTCAACTGTACTGTGTCAAGTCCGTACAATAGTTTGGATCTTATCACTGCATCGAATATGATCAATTCCCACTTTCCTTTCAGATGATGCTTTCCAGTACGGCGCCATTTTGAACCAAATTCTTCTAACCTCTTGCATTTTGTTCAATACTTCATGTTTTATGCTAACTTCACGGTTGGTTTCATTTCCTAGATATGACGCCTCGAATTTTTTGGGGAGCGGTTCGCGGTCATCAAAATGGACTTGGCCTTCGTTGTTCATTTGTATCGCCACAGTAATAGAGTTCTGAACAATCACATTCCTGGTTTGGCAGTTGATATGGTATACTATGCTGACGACACAATACTCTTCTCAACGGACAACTGAGCCCTGAGTTCAGCAACAAGGGACGCTAAGTTCTGTGGAACCCCAAATCAAAGGCAACTTCAGCGCGAAGTGCAAAAAGATTGCCCCAACAATGAGCGTGAATCATCAAATCTCTCAGTTGCGCTGCTTCTCTCGGCCTGTTCTCGAAGTCATTGTGAAGCGCAATGACTTTGCCAACATATTGGTCAACCTCCACTTTGGTGTTGTCAAGACCCAAAGAGCAGCAGTAGGCTCCTGCTGCAGTGTCCGGGTAGCTCCTGCGCGGGACGACTGCACAGCCGTCGCGCAAAAATCAAACGGAAACGACAAGCGTGGACAAGCAAATTGCACATCCATGTGGCACGTGGGACCACCTCGCAAATGAAGCAAGGTGCCGGAGCATGGCCCTTCGGCAACTTGGGCCCCGACTTGTTTCTCTGTCAAAGCGGCGTGTGACAGGGTTAATTCTTGCGCTTCACATTGCGCTGGGCATCGTGGACCCAAGCCGCCAGAATCGTGTCATATGTCTCTAAAGCGCGGCCTAGGCGCCCCACACTCTTCCTCTCAAGCGCCAGACTCTGCGAGATTTTGTAAACTGTCTCGCCAGCTTGGGCCCGCCAATCAATCCACCGCAGCTAGGCTTCCAAAGCTCTGATTGGGGGGTGTTGTTCGGATCGGATTCGTTGGATCGGAATCTACTTGGTCAGATCGGAATCGTAGACTCGACGGGCGCGCGCGCAACACCATCCCGACCGTCCCGACCATCCCGCCAAGGATCCTATATCGTTGACGCGGATCCCTAACTATAACGCTGATTCGGCGAGGTCGAGCATAAACTATTCCAACTGTTGTTGCTAACTGGCTGCGCGCCGGCAATCACGACCATCCCGACCGTCCCGACCATCCCGACCGTCCCACTAGAATCTGATCCTACGACGCTGATCCGAGCGATAGGAATCTGATCCCTGACGCTGATCCGGCGAAGTCGAATCTGATCCGGCAATTGCCCCTGTTTGTGCTGCTGTGTGGCACGGCCTATTAACCTTGCAAACCCTTTTCGGCAGCTTGGAGCCCCTAAGCTGCCAGATTTGTCTCTCTACCAACATGATTCGCGCCTCAAAGGCTGTGCCGCCCACGAAAACAAGGGTGTCGCGCCTGTGTCTTGTTGCTGCGACTTGTTGCGCACATCTCACACAAGTTTGGACTTTCAAGGCTTCGGGCAACGAGTGGAGGTCGCTGACTAGGACGCGCAAAACAGCGTGAGCATGAATAGAACACAGTACCAATCCCAAAAACTAACCTTCAAATGTTGGCCGTGCCCAATTGCGCCGCCAAGTCCAACTCTTCCTTTCCCCAAACAGCTTGCGATTCTATGGCTTCTCAAACACCGCTATTGAATGCCGCTATTGATTCTGTGAAAATGCACTGGACGCCCACGCTCGACTCAAGGCAAGCACTTAGGAGCCAGAGACTCGATGGGGGCTTTGCGTCCACCGGAAAAAGAGTCTTGTTCTTGCTTGTTGGGTCTGTTGCGGTTCCCCCAATTTCACAGTGGTAGCGGAGCCCGGTTCCGACCGGGCTGGTTTTTGGGTTGACTCTTCTTTTTGGTGGATCTCAGCCCCCATCCCGCTAGGTTTTTGGAACGGCCGATAGACAGGCTATTCCACCTTTGGATGGCGATCTGGACGAGCCACCAGGCGGCGGTTCACCAACCCCTGGCTCCATGGGGGCTCATGGCGCGCAGGACGCTTTGGGGAGCGACCGGGAGGCCTTCGCTCGGTGTTAACGCAAGGCCGCGGTCCGCTACGTCATTGTGAGCGAGAAGAGGAAGAAGATGATGAAAGTGGAGAAGGAAGAGGGGCTTTCGGATCTCCACCAGCATGGGATGGACAAAGCCCATTCGAGGATTACCACATCAATTCCCAGTTGTGGATCGCGACAACCAAAGCGAAGGCGAAGTCGCGAGGGCCCCTGTTGTTGAAGATGCTCACCGGTGCACCTTTCGAGCTCTACAAGCACTGGGCAAAAGATCCCGCCTGGCTCGGAGATCCACGAGGTGCTGAGCATCTTCTTGGGGACATGGACAAGCCCGAACGATTCGGAGATGACCGACAGGAGCACATGCTGACTGCAATGTCCCGCATCACCTGAGTCTTGGATTTCGCCGGAGGACTACCAGGAGTTCATAGACTTCCTGCGCTGGCGCCGAATGAAGCCACCGGCGGGTCCTTCAAGCCAATGACCCCGAAGCTTGAGAGAAAGCTCCGGGCAGCCCTTAGGAAGGCCGTGGCTTTTCGGAAGCAGATCCATAGCAGAAACGCATGAAGGAGATGCGACACTGCGGGGCTGGATCAGAAGCTTCAATCAAGAACTTTGTGCGGAGTTCACCGTACACCCTAGCGGTTCCAGAAGAACGCATCAGATCGCTGAGATCATGGGGTTGTCACACCAACAACTTAGAACGGTTGCCGAAGTCCATAATCCCGGTTGTTGGAAAGATAGCCCATCGTTTCAACCTCACCGCAGGAAGTTGGATTTTGATTGCAAACAAACAAACGAAACGAAGTCAAGCAGTACATTAAAGACGTGAGACCTGGACTTGTATGCATTGCACCACCATGCGAAATGTACTCACAGTTGCAGAACTTGTCTAAAAACAAAAGAGAGCGCATTCCTTTTCTTCTTCAGACATACCTAAAAAGAAAATCGGAAGGTGAGCAACTCCTTCTTTTTGCACTGCAATTGTGCGAGTTGTGCAATGATCTTGGCAGCAAGTTCCTTTTGGAACATCCCCACGCTGCATCCTCGTGGAAACACCGTGCCATGGATCAGCTCCTCTCCAAACCGAACGTAGTGTACACAAAGGCAGATCAATGCCAATATGGACTCCGTGGAGAATCTGGCCAAGCTCAAAGAAAAAGGACTCGATTTGCTACCAATAGCCCCGAGATCGCCAAGGCCCTCAGTGCTCTATGCCCCGGCGATCATCAACGTGAAGTCATCATCGGTGGCAACAAGTCCAAGAAAGCACAGGTCTACCCCGAAGGCCTTCGAACAGCCATCCTGGCCGCTTATGCGCACCACCACGTCTGAACAGATGTTTCTTGAGAACGAACGCTTGAACTACCTTATGGCTGTTGAGCTGATGGTTGATACCGAACTTCATCCGGGACAATCACATCAACCTGGACCTGAACCCGATCGACTACCAGGACAGACTTCAAGCTCCTGAACATGAACTCCACCTAGGTGATAATGATTCCGGACAACCAGAACGAGAAGAAAGTCAAGTGCACCACTACCCCTCCAGCGACGCTTCACTCTGGATGGAATCCTCCACAGAGCACACGTTGGAATGGGACACCCAAGTCCAGACCGCTTTGCCCGCATACGTCGCTATGATGCCAAAGCAAAACCAGAGGTCATCGAAGCGGCAAAACAATTGAAGTGTAGTGTCCTCCAGGTTCTAAATTCTACAAGTAAATGCAATGCAGAAAGATAAACGTATAAACGCAAATAGAAGAATGCACCTATTCGGCGCTACCACCTGCTCGGTGGAATTCCTGTGTGTTCATTCAAAAATCTATTTACAGTAGCTATATTTTGTTATTGTTGCAAATATTTTTTGCGCAAATATTTGCAGTATGATTCTTTTTTACCACATTGACGTGTGGGGTTTTTGCTTTAGCGTGGTATCCGCTCCTCCTTCCTCCTCCTCCTCCCGCCTCCCGCTTGCCACCAACCAATTGCCACCCACCAATTGTCACCAACCAATTGCAACCCACCAATTGCTACCAACAAATTTCCACCAACTACTTGCTACCCACCAATTGCTACCAACCAATTGCCACCAACTAATTGTCACCAACCAACTATCAACAATTGTCATCAACCAAATGCTACTCACCAATTGCTACCAACCCATTGCTACCAACCAATTGCCACCAAACAATTGTCACCAACCAATTGCTACCCACCAATTGCTACCAACCAATTGCCGCCAACTAACTGTCACCAACCAATTGTCACCAACCAATTGTCCACAACAAATTTCCACCAACCAATTGTCACCAACCAATTGTCAGCCAATTGGCTAAGGCTGTTCGGACCTCAAAACGAATGGCCCTGGAGTTGCGAGGTACCTTTGCAGAACAAGTCGAACAGGATGGCACCTACATCGACCCAGCTGCTGTAGAGGCACCTCATCAAAGAGGTATCACAGAGAGACATGGGAAGACCTTCAAGTACTCCTGCAGAAAACAATGGACACCTACAGCTGTGGAAACATGCAAGAGTGGGAAGAAATGGTGGACCTCACTACGATGACCAAGAACCGTATGATGAATGTGGGAGGATTCAGTCCATGTCAACGTGTCCTGGGCTTCAACTCCTTCCTACCTGGAGGACTACTAAATGGAGATGATGGACACCGAAATAGAGAAGACACTCCAACTCCAAAGATGGGAGATCTCTGTATCGAGAGATCCATGAAACTTCGAAAGGCGGCTGCCCAAGCTTTCATTGAAGCTGATGCAGGCAACGCCTTAAGAAGAGCCATTTCCTCAGGGGAGCAGACAATAAGCAAAAGTTCAAACCTGGATACTGGCAAGGACCAGCACGTATCATTATGATCGATCAAACCAGCGCCATTTGGCTAGCACACCAAGCCAATCTGGTCAAGGCTAGTCCAGAACGTATATCAGAGGAAAACCTAGCCCTCTCCGGATGGCTCGATTGACGATGTCGATCAACCACTACCCCGACATTGAAAACGGAGATCTTGATGACATGAATTGTGAGCCTTCGGAACCTCGCGAAGAAGAAGCGATAGAACTCCCAACTGCCTCTTTCCCAGACGGACTTTCAAGAACCTCTTGGATATCCACCTCCAGCAAAGAGATACCGGACTAAGGCACCACAAGAAAATCTTCATCCACCTACGACACCTGAAGATCCTCAAGAACCAGACCAAGACGGACTACCTGCTGATGAAGCACCAGGAGAACAACTTGAGGCCAGGGGGAGAGGTCGAAAGCTAGCCGAATCGCACCGGATGTACTAGTTACATAGTCGGCAAAGCATGTAGGGATGACATGTTTTGGGAGGAAGGTTGCTATGTACATACTTTGCGCTAAAGAATGTAAATGTGACATCGCTGACTGGGAAGGGTACATTGGAACAACCCGGGTGCACTCGTTGGCAGGCACGAAGATGCGTGATCGGCAAATCTGAAGGGTAAATTTACCCTCCGCTTTTGTATGCCTTGAGTCGGAAAGAG